GACGTGGATAACGAGCGTGCCGCGCCGAAGCATGGTGGGCCAGAACTGGTGGCGCGACACGCTGAGCCAAAGGCCCCGACCGTGCGCAGGGCGTCAAGAACCCAAGGATCCGCAGAATTCGGCCCAGTAGTGCTGAGTCGCTCGGTCGAGGCGGACCAGGCAACAGGGCCGTGCAAGCAACTCTGGCGGTGTGCAGTGAGACGGCCGCGCTCCTTGGGGAACGAAGAGTGACATAAAAATGAAAGCTCGGAGGTCCGCGCGGATTCCTCGGATCGGCGCTGGACCCCCCTTACCTGGCGCGCGGAGCGCACTGGGGGCGACGCCGGAGGCGCCGCCAGCTGTTACGATTCTGTCATCGCTCGTTCCCCGAAGCTCTGCTGGTGTGCAGTGACAGCCGCGCTCCCGCCACGAAGAGTTCTCATCGGAGGCCTGGAAGATGGGCACCAACACCAACACAGAGGGCTGCCTCCATGGGGGGAAGAGGATCCTAGATTTCGGTGTGTGTGTGTGTGTGTGTGGTAATACGTCGGTCACCTTGGAAGCCACAGTATTACCACCGTCACCGAAATCGGGATCGTCTTCCCTCGGTGGAGGCACACCGCCGATATTGGTGTTGGTGTCAACCTCTAGGCCTGTGATCTCACCCAGAAGCCCCCCCGCTGTCCCGCGGGCTGCGAGCGCGGGGCACCGAAGGCGCCAGCGTGCGGCCGATGGCGAGGGGAGGCACGGCGGCCGAGCCAGGCGACGACGGAGGCGCGCCGCATTCCCGGCGGCGTCCCCCTCGTCCCCCTCGTCCCTCGTCCCCCTCGTCCTCCTCGTCCTCCTCGTCCCCCTCGTCCTCCTCGTCCTCCTCGTCCCTCTCGTCCTCCTCGTCCTTCTCGTCCTCCTCCTCCCCCTCGTCCTCCTCGTCCTCCTCGTCCTCGCCGTGCTCCCCGTCCTCCTGGTCGTCCGCGCACACCCCAGAAGCAGCCCTTACGCGTGCCCAGTGGCATCTGAGGACCCGCCCCACCCCGCCCCGGAATCCCGAGGCCTCCCAGAGGGGTCCGGACATATGGAACCGGAGGATCGCGCCGCATCGCCGATCAATGAATCGCCGATGCATGGGTGACGGTGGCGATGCATCGCCGCAGTCGGCGTGGATGAAATCGGGTTCCGCATCGCCGTTGCATCGGCGATGCGGCACGAAACCCCGAAACCATCCACTCGGACCCCACTCGGGAGGCCTAGAACCCCAGACCCCCGACGTCATGATTCCTTTCGTAACGTCGACCCCCAGAGGTCTCGACCCTGTCCCCAAAACCGGTTTTTTCATCCGGAATCGTTGGTTGGCGGTCCCGAGGCCCGGTGAGGGCCCGTGAGGGCCCCCAAAGGCCGAAAGCAGCGACAAAAACTCCCGTCATAACTTTTTCATGACTCGACAGGGTCGCAATCCACGCGCGGCGCGGGGGGCCAGTCGCCCCGCCGTGAAGAGCCAACGGAGCGCGCGCGCGGGACTGCAGGAGGAAGAGGAGGAAGAAGAGGAGGACGAGGAGGAGGAGGAGAAGAGGAGGAGGAGGAGGCCTGAGGAGGAGGCGGAGGAGGAGGAAGAAGAGGAGGAAGAGGAGGAGGCCTGGAGGAGGAAGAGGAGGAGGAAGAGGAGGAGGAGGCCTGGAGGAGGAGGAAGAGGAGGAGGAGGCCTGGAGGAGGAGGAGGAGGAGGAGGAGGATGGATGGATGGATGGATGGATGGACTCGGCATTGCGCTGTGAGTCTGAAGACACTCGCCCCTCGAGCTCACGAAACGAGAGATCGCTCGGGGGCACCTCTGAGCAGTCGTGCGATCTCCTCGGACCGAACGAGGTCAGGCGTGCGGGCGCGCCGTGCAGCTGTGATCACCTTTGATCAGAGCCGAGCAGGACAGGAAACAGGAAGGCGCCCGCGGGCGGGGGGCGATACCCCTCTGGCCCCTGGGGGCCGAGCTCGACGGCGCGGAAAGCACCGAGCAGGCTCCCTGGACACCCAGAGGCCCCGAGAAGGAAAACAACAACCAGGCCGAAAAAAAGAGCCGACGGCGCGCCCTAGAGACCAGGGGCGGCGAGAGCGAGTAGAGGGGCCTGGTGCTACAGCGAAGCTGCTGGAGGGACTCACGTCGTCACGTAGTGTGCTGGTCGCCCATCTCTTTCCGTAGGATCCGCCACCCATGTCAGCCCTTCTGGCCGTAGTGGATCTGGCGGTTCTTGTCTAGCGGTTTCTGGGCCATCGATTCCAGGTGGCCCAGAGGGGCCGTCCCCATCTTCTGGCGGCCGCCCAGAACGTCGAGGCATGTCTCCCGAGGGCCGTCTGGGTCGACGCTCTTCAGTGTGATCTGGTCCGCGCTAGCGAACTGCATCCTGGTGTACCGGTCGTTGTGGCGCGTGCGCAGCCTGAGGTGGAGCAGAGCTCCGAGCCCGTCCCCATGCAAACGAACTGCTGGTAGAAGGTACGCGGGAGCACGTGCCCCTGCGGGGCCTCCTGCTCCACGGAGGCCGACGGGTACTTGAACTCGGCGTGAGCGATGTACAAATGTGGTGAGTTGGGGCTTCGCCTCGGGGACCTGCGCCGCCTCTGCGTACATCTTGCCCGCTTCCCGAGCCGCGACGATCGAAGTAGCCGTGGGCGGGGTCGCGATGCTGATCCATTCCGAGGCCGCGAGGTCCCTGAGCTGCTGGGCGTGCTGGCGCGCCATCTTGGGGAGGAACGTGACCGCCTGCTGCAGGTCGCGCGACTCCAGGGCGCCCTCCAGACGAAGCATGATCGTGTCGTAGTCCCAGGTGTGCTGCGCGTGGGCCTCGAAGATGTCGCCCGCGTAGAAAGAGCGGTGGTCTCGATCGTACAATGCGTTGAAGCGGCGTCCTGCTCCCCTGGGGGCCTTGCACTTGCACGGGGCGTGGAGGAACTCGATCCTGCGTGACCGTCCGTGCGCCCCGATGAAGGTGTCCCCGCTGACAAAGAAGGTGTCGTGGTCCGAGTGGAACCGTTGCCGAAGACGTCCAGAAAGGCCCTCCAGCTCCAGGGAGGGGCCCACGGCGCTGTCGGCCTCGCTCCACAAGTCGGGCTCGAGCAGGGACGGGGAGCCGAGAAACGTCTCGTCCACGGAGTCGCCGAGCTGAGGTCCGCCCCACTGAAGGGCGTGCGTCGACTGCCCACAGACTCCAGCGTGGTGCGTGCCCACGAGATCATAGCCTGGGTCACCTGGCGGTATGAGTTGCGGCTGGAGCAGGACTCGGATGGCACGGAAGGGTGCCGAACCATGAGGAGCACGTCCGAGGAGCGGCACTGTCGCGCCGCAGCGGCCCGAGAGCGCCGCGGGCGGAGGGTAGATCCAACGGAGGTGTGCCTGCGGAAACCGCTGATGTAGGAAGATGCTCCCCCCGCAACTCTTGTTGGTCCAGCCGAAGGAGAGCTCCCCGTGGTAGTCGTGCTGAAAGAGGCTGTGGCGGCCGTCCAGTGTCGGGCGGCGGCTCGTCCCAGGGAAGAGGATCACGCCCATGTAGTGCTCGCAGGTGATCTCCTGCGCGCGGGTGCTGCCCGTCAGGTAGAGAGGGTTGTACACGTAGAGCCTGGTGTGCTGAGCAGGTTGAGGCTCTCGCTCCTGAGTGCGTCCAGGGGCGCGGCAAGCGCCTGTCGACATGTAGGCGGCCGCCCGCGGCGAGAAGCCGACGGCCGCGAGCAAGAGGAGAGCCTCCATCATGGGCCTCTTGGGCCCCGCGGGCGCGTGGGCATCGCGCGCTGCTCCCCTGGCGGGCGATGGAACCGGGTGGGAGGGCCGCGTGTCCCTCGACCTTCAGCCGTGGCGGCGGCTGGAGGAGGAGGAGGAGGAGGAGGAGGAAGAGGAGGAGGAGGAGGAGGAGGTAGGAGGAGGAGAAAGAGGAAGAGGAGGAAGAGGAGGAGGAGGAGGACGAGGCGGAGGCCTGGAGGACCCCCGTGAGGGCGGAGGTGCCCCGTGCCCAGGCAGCGCCAGAGGGGCTCAGCACCGAGCGGGTCGCCAGCGCCTCCAGGCAGCGGCCCTCGCTGGAGACCCCCCAAAAGAGTCCAGAAGGCTGTCCACAGTCTCCTCGATCCTCGATCCAAAATCTTCTCGATCCAAAGACGCTCCAAAGATCCAAAGACCTCCAAAAACGTCCTCGATCCTCTCCTCGAAGATCCAAAGACCTCCAAAGATCAAAAGATCTCGAAGATCCTCGATCCTCGATCCTCTCCTCGATCCAAGGACGCTCCAAAAACGTCCTCGATCCATCCTCGACCCGCGCTCCGCCTCGATCGTCGATCTCCAGTGGGAGGTGGTGGCCCTCTCGACTGGTGGGCCCCCCTGGCACTGCCTGGCTTCTGGGGGCTCCCTGGAGCCCATTTGGGGGATGCTGGGGCCTCGTGGAGCATTGCAAATGAATTCAGAATGGGGGCCTACCCCTACCCTGCGACCCTTGCAGGATGACCGCGATCAGATGCAAGAGCAATTCGCGAAGCAATTCGACGCGAAGATCCCCACGCTGGCATCATGATCCCTGACGCATCCCACAGAGAAGAACCCTTCTCGGTAAGAAACAAGCCAGAAGCCCCCGAATTCCAGCTACCAAGTCGGTGTGGGGGCAGCACCAAGTCAATGGACGTGAAACTCGCGAGTCTACTTTCAAGCCAGGCACTTGCGCAGCGGACAGCTGCGCATACGGCAAAACCAATGGGACAAATAAGAAAACGCTTACACGGCTACATAAAGTCCTTACTCCTGGACCCAATGACTGATCGATTGCTTCGTTTCCCGAAGTGCTGGCGCTCGGGGCCCAGTGCACGCCGCAGCCGCAGTGAACAGGAAGGTGCATGCGAGGGCTGGGCATGGAACGACATCACGTGGAGACGCGGCTGGGACAGGGGGCATGCTGATGAAGAGGAACGGAGCGAACCTGAACCATGCTTTTCGATCAGGATCGCGCGCAAAAGCACGAGGCACGGCGTAAGGGCTAGAGGCTCGCTCGCGTCTGAGCAAAATCATGTGTTATCGCATCTTCGGGGGACGTGATCTGTCCGATCGCGTTGCTGGTCGCGTTGAATCTGCGAATCCACACGGACTCCGCGTCGGCTGCGTGCCGAATTCGCGCTGGAGTCACGTTGAGCCCCCGGCGGCACAAGGCAGAACCACAATCTGGAGGCGGCCAGGGGCCTGTAGTGGCTGGGACCCCAGAAAAACCTGTGGGAGGGGGGTGATGCCACATTTTTGGTTATGCGGGGAAAGGACAACCCGATCTCATGAGTAAGGCTGGGCACTAACACTCTCGCAACACACGAGCTGAGTGACAACAACGCCATGGCACGAAAAACTCGGCGGTGCAGCCCCCCTACAGTTAAGCAGAAGGCGTGCCCTCCCTCTCCGTTAAGGATGATGCCACATGCGTTCCGAAACGGTCACTGCACCCTTCCTGGTGTCAATACGGTAGGTACATTGGATAAGGAACCCTTGGATACGGAATCCAGGGTCTGGAGGCCGGAGGAACTCCAATCGTGGATCGGCCATGGATCACACTGCCGCCCTCATTAGGTAAGGAATCCTCCAGGGTCTGAAGGCTCTTGGGCGCATTCCTTAACCAACGCCCCCACCGTATGGGTCAACCTGGCGCAACGTTTCACACCAGATCCATTTTTTGACTGCCCCCGGGCCCGACAACGGCACGCAGAGGGAAAAAGGCAAAAATCTCCCCGAAACAAGAACCTCACATGCCCGCCATTTCTGCTGGCCGGAACCAATGCTGGGCCTCCTCAGGCCCCAGCCGGCTCCAAACCTCAATCCGTTGGACAGACGAGGTTCCTCGATGGTGCAACACAAAGGCGGCTGGTAGCCCCTCCTGGTCGGACGTGTACTCCTCGATCTGCCAGCTCGTCGTTCTCGTGACGTCAAACGCCAGCTCTCTGCCGTTCCCTTTCTCCCAAATGTCCTCTGGAAGTGGACCCGGGGGTGCATCTGGGGAGGGGGAGAATAACGGGACAAGAGGAGAAGGATCCATCGCACTTCAACTCTGTATCTTCAAGAGGAGGGGGCGGAGGAGGAGGAGGAGGAAGAGGAGGAGGGAGTAGGAGGAGGAGGAGGAGGAGGAGGAGGAGGAGGAGGAGGAGGAGGAGGAGGAGGAGGAGGAGGAGGAGGAGGGGGAGGAGGCAGGGAGGGGCGGAGGAGGGAGGAGGGAGGAGGAGGAGGAGGAGGAGGAGGACGGAGCGCGACCGCACAACTTTACACTGCTCGCCCTCAGCCGATGTGAGGATCCACATGTCGCCAGGCGCACCAGGACCCCGACGCGAGCGGACCCACGCAGCGAACCAGGGCCTGAGAGGAGGGGAGGAACGTGCCGCGCCCGAAGATCCCACAGCAAGAAACCCGACGGCCAACGGCAGGACCTGCCGGCGCAAGACAGCTCCGGCCGCGGCCGGAGGCAGCCGAACGGGGCGCCACGGGACCGGGCCGGGGGCGCAGCAGGACGAGGGAGGGCGCGTGCGCGGGGGCCACGGGAGGTGGAGCACGCTGAGAGCACGAAGTGCTGGCGCGTGCGCGCCGAAGCAGAAGAAGAAGACGAAACAGGTCGGGGGCGTCGCTCAAGACGAAGCAGGTTCTCTGTCCCTGCACGGCAGGGACAACGAAGAAGACGGTGCCCGAGGAGGTTTGGGGGGGCGTCGCTCACAGGGGGGAGGGGGGCGCCGAAGGGGGGGAGGGGAAAACGGGTGCACATCTCGGGCCCCGAAGGGCCCCCCCGGAGCCCGAGGAGGGCCCCTTCGGGGCTCCTTTTGGTATCCTCCATCACAAGAAATAAGGTAGCCCAATACACTTGCGCAGATGGCCCATGACGGCCGCCTTGGCACCCCCTGGCCTCAGGAAAGCACGCCACCTTCCCCCCTCGACAAGCGAAAGAAATCTCGATTCCCCTGTGGCGCACAGTGCGCTTTCGTGCCCCGCCGCCTTGCACTTTTCCAGCAAAATGCCTACCTTTACCATCCGTTTTGGCATCATTTCCTCTCTTCTGCTTTGTGGGTGTCGCACCAGATGCCCCTCGGGCTTTCGCTTTTGATTTCTCGGCCCCGCGGTCCTCTCGAGGGGTTTCGCCCCCCCCCCCCCCCCCCTCCCCCCGCCCCCCCCCCCCCCCCTCCCCTTTGGATGCAAAAAACTACACGAGCTGCCCGCGGGCGCGGGCGCGGAGGCGCGGCCGAAGGCCTCGATATAAAATAACAATGGGCGTCGACGACCAGCGCCGAAAAGGAACTCACTCATTTCCCCCAACCGCACGGGCGACGCTCTCCACCACGCCGCGTGCGGGTTCGAGCGGGAAACCGCTCGCTGTGCTAGAGGAGGGGCCGTCGCCCCCCCCAACGCTCGTTCACCCTTCCTCCTGCACCAAAGCCGCCGTGAATTTCCCATCGCATGGGAACGAGGAAGGAGGAGGAACAGGACGAGGAGGAGGAGGACGTCACGGAGAGGAGGGGAAAGAAGTGAAGACGGGAGTGATGGCTC